TCCTTCAAGCCGAGGCCAATGAAGTCTTTGGCTTTGCCCCCCTCGCCGGGCTCCTGCGGGTGCAGCGGGGCGGTGAGCGGGGTGGGGGGCACCCGGACCCCCACCCTAAGGGGGCTCAGCACCTCGGCCCCCTCCCCGGCAGGGCCCTCCCACCCCGCTCACCGCCCCGTGCCACAGCAGCAGCCCGTCGGCGCTGCCCGTCCGCAGCTCCAGCTCGATGGTCTCGGGCGCCTCGGGTGGGCTGCAAGGAGAGGGGGACGGTTCGGTGGGTGCAGCACCCCGGGAAGGGTGCAGCACCCCGGGAGGGTGCAATGCTGCAATGGGTGCAGTGCTGCAGTCAGGGTGCAACGCTGCGATGGGTGCAACGCTGCAGTGGGTGCAACACCACGGGAAGGGTGCAATGCTACAACGGGTGCAACACTGCAATGGGTGCAACGCTGCAGTGGGTGCAACGCTGCAGTAGGTGCAACACCACGGGAAGGGTGCAATGCTGGTATGGGTGCAACACTGTGATGGGTGCAATGTTGCAGTCAGGGTGCAACGCTGCAATGGGTGCAATACTGCAGGAAGGGTGCAATGCTGCGATGGGTGCAATGCTGCGATGGGTGCAACGCTGTGGTGCAATTCCGTAGGAAAGGGTGCAACTCCCCAGGGAGGTTGCAGCACCCCAGGAAGGGTGCAGCACCCCGGGCAGGGTGCAATGCCACGGGTGGGGGTGCAGCACCCCACTCAGGGGTGCCCCGTCCCCGGTGTCACTCACCCACGGGGAAAGAGGTGACCGGGCAGGGCCAGGTAGGAGCCGTCACGGAAAGCGGCGCTGAACTGTCCGGGGGCATCTGCGGGGAGACGGGGGGGTGAGGGGGGGCCACGCCCAGCCGCCACGCCCGCGGCACGGCTTTTGGGTGCCAAAGCCGGGCAAATGGGTGCAGGGACCTACCGCCGCCCCCGCTGCCTTCCTGCCAGTCCTGCTCCAGCTCCGCCAGCGCCAAGCCTGCGGGCGAGAGGGGGTTGGGGACGAGGTGGCCCGTGTCCCCCCCGTGTCCCCAAGGGTCCCCAAGTGTCCCCCGACTCACTGTGCTGGCAGTAGGGGCCAGCGTAGCCCGGCGGGCAGAGGCGGGCGTTGCCCTTGCAGGTGCCGCCGTGCAGGCAGGGGTTGCGGTGCAGGCAGCGGTCCTCCTCCCGCTCGCAGCGCGGCCCTGGGGACACGGAGGGGGACAGCGGGTGACGCGGGCGGGCGCCAGGGTGGGCACCAACCCTCGGCTCGCCTGCTGCCCTGGGGTTTGCCCTTGTACGCACATGCATGTGCAAGGCGAGCATGCACACGAGGAGCATGCACAGTGCCCACGGTACGTGCTCGTGCACGCCGTGCACACGCGCTAACGGCACAGACGTGCACACACAGCGTACGCATGCACATAACTGCATGCGCAGCAGATGCGCACACGTGCAAACTGCACCCAGCGCACAGCATGCATGCGTGCGTGCCAATTGCACGTCACACGCATGCACAGCACGTGCACAGGAGATGCACGCAGTGCACACTGCGCACGCATGGATGTGCAGCAGATGCATCCACTTGCAAACTGCACCCACAGTGCGCCCACACGTGCACAGCACCCTTGCATGCACACCAAATGCATGCACACACGCACTGACAGCACATGCGCAGCAGAGGCGCCTGTTTGCAAATGGCACGCATGCACACACAGCGCATGGCGCGCACACGCATACATGCACAACACATGTCCATCTACAGCACAGATCCATGCACAGTGCACACACATGCAGAGCACATTCACACACGCACAGCGCACGTGCACGCACAGCAGACGTGCCTCTGCAGCATGCACCCATCCACAGTGCACACGCGTGCACTGCACACGTGCACACGTGCACAGCACACACATGCACAACATGCATGCATGCACAGTGCATGTGGATGCATGGCATACATCTGTATGCAGCACACATGCATGCATGGTGCACGTGCTTACACACAGTGCACATGCATGCACCGCACACATGCATATGCGGCACACATGAATGCACAGCACACGTACATGCACAGCACACATGCATGCACCGCACACATGCATATGCAGCACACATACGTGCATGGTGCACATGCTTGCATGCACAGCACATATGCATGCACAGCACATATGCATGCACCGCACACACGCATATGCAGCACACAGGCATGCACAGCACACGTGCACGGTGCACACACAGCAGACGTGCAAACCGCACACGTGTGCAGAGGCGTGTGAGCACCCCGATCCCCTCGCCGGACTCACCGCTGAAGCCGGGCGGGCAGAGGCAGCGGTAGGCCGGGGTGCCGGCAGGCAGGGGCAGGCAGCGGCCCCCGTGCAGGCAGGCAGCCTGCAGGCAGGGCGAGCTCTGCCTGCACTGCCCCACGCCCCGGCTCTGCAGGAAGCTGTAGGACAAATCCACCTTCTTCCCGTTGATGGAGACCTGGGGGGACACCAAGCGTGGGGGGGGTCAACCCCTGGTCCCCCCTCCGCTGCCGAGGGGACCCAGGCGTCCGGGACGGGGTGGGGGGGTCTCACCTCTCCGATGCAGCCCCGGAAGGAGGCGTTGGTTGGGGGGCGCAGGGGGGGTTCGGTGCCCCCCAAATAAAGGGGGGTGCGGAGGTTGAGGCCTTGGCTCTTGCCGGGTGAGGAGCGTTTCACCGGAGCGGCGTCATCCACCACCAGCGTCCCGTCCTTGTTCACCCGCTCGGCCGTCACCCGGTGCCAGCGGCCGAGTGTCACCGGCTCGGTGCTCCGGAGCACTGCCGGGCCTGCGGGGACAGGATGGTGAGGGGACACTGGGGATGCGTGGGGACCTGGGTGATGCTGGGGGACCCCGGTGATGTTTGGGGACCCCAGTGGTGACAGAAGACTCCAGTGACACCAGGGGACCCCACTGATGCCTGGGGACCCTGGCAGCGTCTGGGGACCGAAGTAATGCCAGGGGACCCCAGTGACACCAAGGCACCCTGGTGACATTTGGGGACCCCACTGGTGCCAGGGGACCCAGGTGATGGCGAGGGACCCTGGCGCTGCCTGGGGATGCCAGTGCCACCAAGGGACCCCAGTGATGTGATGCCAGGGGACCCAAGTGACACCAGGTGACTCCAGTGATGCCAGGGGGACCCCACTGATGCCCGGGGACCCCCAGTGACACCAGGGGACCCCACTGATGCCTGGGGACCCTGGCAGCACCTGGGGACCAAAGAGAAGTCAGGGGACCCTGGTGGTGTGACACTGATGCCTGGGGACTCAGGTGATGGCAGGGGACCCCAGGGATGCCAGGGGACCATGGTGACACCCAGGGAATCCCAAGGATGTGATGCCAGGGGACCCTAGTGACACCAAGGGACCCCACTGATGCCCAGGGACCCTGGCAGTGCCTGGGGACCCCGATGAGGCCAAGGAATCTTGGTGACACTTGGGGACGCCAGTGGTGCCAAGGGACCCCACTAATGCCACCTATACCCAGGGTCCCCGGCGTCACCAGCCCCGCGGTGCCACCAGGACCCCTGTCACCGTGCCAGCCTACCTGAGCCCAGCTCGTAGCTGAACTCGAGGTGGCCGCCAGCCATGGCCAAGGCGACGAAGTCCTCGACGGGAGCGGCTTTGCCAGCGCTGAAGACCAGGAGCCCGTCGGGTGCCAGCGGCAGGAACTCGGCCTCCACCCGCAGCTCGTGGTGGATGTTGGTGAGGGGCGGGTAGGAGACGAAGGCGCCCGCCTCGCCGAAGGACGGCACGCTCACCGCCTCGCCTGCGGCACCCCCAGGTCAGTGCTCGGCTGGTGGGACCCCATCCTCTGTCCCCATGGTGCCCATCTCCCCAGGGTGGGGCCTAATGCCCCCACCCCATGGTGCCCATCTCCCCAGGGTGGTCCCCAGCCCCGTGCCCATGTTCCTGGTGTGGTCTCCAGCCCTGTGCCCATGTCCCCAAGGTGGTACCCAGCTCCATGCCCATCTCCCCAGGGTGGTCCCCAATCCCCCATCCCCATCACGCCCATCTCCCTGGGATGGCACCCAATGTCCCACCTCCATCATGTCCGTGACGCCCATCTCCCCAGATGGTACCTAGTCCCCTGTCCCCATCATGCCCATGTCCCCAGGGTGGTCCCAGTCCCCCAGTCATGTACCCGTCTCCCTGGGATGGTCCCCACCCCATGCCCGTGTCCCCAGGATGACCCCCCAGCCCCGTGCCCATGTCCCCAGGGTGGTCCCAGCCCCACGCCCATGTCCCCAGGGTGGTGCCAGCCCTGTGCCCATGTCCCCAGGGTGGTCCCAGTCCCCCAGCCCTGTGCCCATCTCCCCAGGGTGGTCCCCAGCCCCACGCCCATGTCCCCAGGGTGGTGCGCGCCCTGTCCCCGTGTCCCTGGCTGCGCTCACCCTCGGTGCACCTCTCCCCAGCCTTGCCCAGGTGACAGCGGCAGGTATAGCCCTGCCCGTCCGGCCGGTTGACGCAGGTGGCATCAGCCCCGCACGCCTCTGTAGGGTGACAAGCCGTGAGCACCCATCCGGGGAGGGACATCGGGGTGACGTCCCCACGGGGCGGGCACCTTACCTGGGTGACAATGCAAAGCCTGCGAGTACTCGCAGTTGCTGCCGGTGAAGCCGTGGGGACAGCGGCAGACGTAGGTGCCGCTCTCGGCGTCCTGGCACACGCCACCGTTCTGGGGGGGGGGTGACATGGGTGTCAGCGATGGGTGGGGATGGGTGACGATGGGTGGGCATCGCCCACAGCCTCACCTGGCACGGCCGGTCCTGGCAGGTGGGACAACTGGTGACACCGTGCGCCTGCAGGTCCATGTCCCCAAAGGCCACCTCCTCCCCTTGGATGCGGAGCTGGCGCACACAGCCTGCGGAGGGATGGAGATTGGGAGGGGGGGTGACACGATGCTCAGCACCCCCCCCGCCCTGGTGCCCCCCCAAATCCCATCACTCACCCACGAAACCACGGCTGAGCCCCGTCTTAGCCACGGCACCGAAATCGGGGTACCCCCCCAGGTACAGCTCCTCGTTCAGATCCAGCCCTTGAAACTTCCCCTGTGGGCACAAGCAGGTGGGCACCACCTCCAGCACCCTGACCCCCACCCAATACACACCAACCCCACCCCACAAACATACCTGGGAGGTGCCGTTAACCGGGGGGTGCCCGTCCAGCGTCAGCGAACCCCGGGTGAGGTTGCGGAGGAGACGGACGGTGTGGTACTCGCCCAACCGCAGCGGCGTCGGGTGCCGGATGGTGGCCATGCCCGAACCGGCGTCAAACCTTATTTTTTGGGGGTAAGACGGGTGTGGGAGGGTGCCGGCACCCATCTTCCCCCCTCCTCCCATAGCACCCACTCATGGGTCTCACCTAAATTCGGGGCGGCCGCCCACCAAACCGAAGGAGATGAAGTCGGCGCCGCTGGTTTTCCGCTGCCCGTTGTAGAGGAGGAGCCCTGCGGGGGGGCAGGGGGTCAGGCAGGGTGGTGCCCACCCCAGGGTGGGGGTCACGTCCCGGGGGACCCCAAAATATCCCCAGGATGGAGGAGAAACCCCCCTAAGTTGGGGGGGGGCAGGTGAATAGAGAAGGAGAGCTAAAGGAGGGAGAGGGGAGGAGGGATGGAGAGGGAGGGGAGGAGGAAAGGACGGAGGGGACGCGGGGGGGACATGGGGACACGGGGGGGGACACGGGGGTCCCGTCGGCACTCACCGTCGGCAGCGGCGGGGGGGGAGGGGGTGG